AAATACGACTTACATATGAGTCAGAATATGGACTGCGGGAGCAGGAGAACGAACTAACTCTGTCATCTGTTAAATACCTGAGACAACCAATCATAACAAAGGCAAGAGACAAGACTTATTACAAAGTAGGTCTTTCACTGGCTATAAAAAGTCCACACCAGCCGTCATAGTGGATATTTTCTGGGGGTCCTATGTAATACAGTCGCAGCTTCCCTTGCGACCACTCTTGTAAGCGACCAGTTCTAGTTACGACCACTTTTTCGAATTTCTGAGGTGGTCGCTTACGAGAGCTTCGACTGTATCTGTTGATCTCAATATTAACATAACATGAGTTATTTTGCCGGCACGGAACATACCTCATCAATCAAACCACAGGCAAACCAAAGCGTAATCACCCAAAGAATGTTAAACAACACTTCACTTAGATTTTATGTTCCCTACCGCTTAAATTCCCCCGCCCTATTACTACCCCTGCAAGTGCAGTTAAGTGGTAAGAAAAGGAAAACTGTCGATGCAAAGACTCAACAGAGAAATCTTTTTAATATTTTATTGGCAAACATTCTTTTTTTCTTTCAAAACGTTTCCTCAAAATATCACTAGAAACCCTCCTTAATTAATATGCCATACGCTTTCAGAAAGGTCAAAATTAGAAACATTTCTCGGTGAGCTATTAGAGAAAATTAGGCAAGCCTTAACTTCCTACCGGCGAGCTTGTTCACAGTTCATACCACTTATGTGTTAGTACCCCACGTGATCGTAGATCATTGTGAAACGGATGTCGTTGGAGTCAAGCTTAGTGCTCTTTCTACACAAATGCTGCGACGAAAATTGGTAAAAAATAAGGGCGCTTGAGATTCCGTTTACACTTAGACGGGTCCGGAAAAAATGTTTTACCTGTGGAACACTTTTACAATAGACCTTTTCACCGATACGGTGGCCATATTGAGTATATTAGATTTAAAGAGTATTATGGGATGCTGAACGGGCGCTCAGTATTTACGCGCGCTTTTCGGGCCAATTTTCCTTTAAGATTTCCTAGAAGAAAGATTGTAATAGGAAATGATCGCCTTTTTCCCGAGAAATATACAGTGAAGTCCTCTTTTTGCCCGAAATGCGCGCGTAAATACTGAGTAAGTGCCCCCTGGGCATCCCATAATACTCCTTAACTCTAGTGAATTCAATATGGCCGCCGTTGCGGTAAAAAGGTCTATTCTGTTTCAGATTGCAGTACTGTTCAAAGCATTGCACGGTTCCAAGGGTCCCGTGTGAACCAAAAAGCAGATCCAAGGAAGTTTTTGTCCGTTCAAATATTTGCCCGGACCCGTGTAAAGGGGGTCTGAAATGTTCAACTGGTCGAAACCAGTTTAAAAACCTGTCAGTCTCGTGTCTACCTCTAAGATTTTGGAGGCGTCTAAAGCGCATGCTCGCGAAAAAGGTTTCTCTTGGAGCGTAAACAAACTAACAAAGCGACCGCCAGCGAGACGAACGTCTTTGTAAGTGCTAAAAGCCATGCAAGAAGGAAACAGCTGCTCGCAGGGTATATGGTAACAACCTTAAAATAGAGCCATATAAACAACTTAATGTAGTTAGCACAACATAAAGGGTAAGAATAAATACCTAACAGAGGACAAAATAACATGACGTTTGAATAAAAATGGCTTATTCCTAACTTTTTGCCATTTATACACCTTCTTAAAAATATTAACTTAATTGCAAAAATACCGAAATACATTATCTATTAAAACTAGATTTACATTTGAAGAAATTTTTCTGGATTCGCGACGAATCCGCAACACTTCGGTTCTGAGTTCATTCTATGGTTTACAAGCGGGTTTGTGAATCTGAAACAAAATTTCCTAGTTTGGACGCGTGTCCAGAGATTTAAAAACCGGAATCTAAATAGAGAGCTTTAGATTTAAGGACGACAAAGAGTACGGGTACGAGATTTAACTTCATTTTACTTTTTTTCCACCAAAAAAGTTAGTACGGTTATTTATACCGAAGGAGGTTAAGCCCTCTCCCGATGGCAAAATGATAAAACTTCTTACATTTGATAAATTGTTCCCGCCACTACGACATTCTCGCTAAAACTCGTAGTAGAGGGGCGACGGCTATCACGTTTTCCCGCCAAAATAACGTTGGTTCACGCGCGTGCAGTACTTAGTATTGAGAAAATCACGTACTCGTAGTCGTCCTCGTCTCAAGATCCAGGGGCATCCAACGAGAATATAATTCAAAACCACTTAAACATAGCATTGTTAAACGTATTTTAGTATTTAAAGGGTAGATATAGGAATATTTTTATCCCCTAAAAATTTTTCATCTGTTCGGATTTCCTAGCTGAAAGTGTAATGATTCGAAAATTATAGGGATCAAAACTTAGCTTTTTGAAAATTTCAGCCAGAAAAAAGGCTCCCGAAAATTGTAGGTGATCTTTTTAGGGTGAAAATCCGTTAAAAACGGGCAATTATACTATTTTTCAGATGTTCGAAAATCCTTGGAGAGGCAGACTAGCAAGAAATTTTGCAAAAAATGTTCAGAAAATTCTAGATCTCAAATCGTCTTCCGAACAGATATTTCCGAAAATTGTCGTTGGGTGCCCCTGAAGATCTAAAGCTCTCAAATAACTACCTAACGTAGGAGTGTAAACGCTCGCGAATCCGAACACCCTAAATGCATCAAATTCAGCAACACTTACGAATCCGGAAAAATCTCCTCTCGTTTAAACGTAGTTTTAAACCGACTATTAACTTAAAAAATTGTATCTTCTGCACATTTCATCGTTCACACTAGAACCAAGTGGCTTCTCTAAAACGCTTACGTCACATATTTACACATTTAAAGCCATAAATTTAAGTTTAAAAAAAATACCTTTTTGCTCTACTATGAACACAGAATTTAACAGAACTAATTCCTAGACAATTGTTTTTGTATCGTGTTGGAATTGACAGTCCTAAACTCTTCTTATCTTTATTATCCCAATAAATGTAATTTAAATGTTTGACTACTTTTCAAAATCTGTCCCCCAAATAATTTAAAATACTACCTAGCATCGTCTCACACACCCTATTCAAGTAAAAAAGAATTGACATTAAAACTTGTCTCGTTCACGACAACGGTAATTGTCCACACCAGATCCTTGTTTGGTGTTATGGCAGCAGTATTTAAAAATTCCTTCTCTAATTGTCAAAATATTTCCTATGATATCCTTTGATCGTCCCCCTACAAATTTTACCGTTTCATTTTTCCCAGAACGTACACAACTTTCTATGACGTTCATAATCAAGACCCGGACAAACGATATAACTTTGTTCTCAACACAGCCTCGTTCCCAGTCTTCCTCGGCGATTTCGGATGTGACGTCATCCGTCCAGCTTGTCGGAAGAATTTGGTTAGCGCGAATTGGCCTGGGGACGAGGTTGTTATTAACAGAGTGGCTTTCACTCAAGTACCGAAAAAGCGCAAAAACCAAGATATCATGCTGGTATGGTCAGTCGTAAAAGACTAGTAAATACAATACACCAACCAGAGAAATCAGTGAAAAGTTTAAATTGGTACCCGCTTTTAAGATGACGGCATTCGCTAATCTATGCAAATTCTACTAAACTTTTATTGTGTTTTGAGTCAAGCTGCATAGTTTTTCCGGGCCCGTGGTAGCTACAAAGTGTAATTTAAGGGAAGCGGCCATACACAAGTGTACTCGAGCAGGACCAGCTTTGATTCGGTGTTAGAAATAATAATAAATAGGGTAAAAAAGGCACCTCAAATCTGATGAGCCCCATAGACAAAGATTTTCATCGGAAAGATTGAGATGAGAGTGAAACACTATTGTTAGACGCCCAACAGAGTAGCCTGTGAATACAGCCCTCTCTTGAAGCTTCACGCCGCTAGGGACGTTTCTGTCCCACGAAACGTTTCCAGCGGCGACAAGCGAGGAGAAACAGCTGTGTTCAAAGGTTACCACCACAGGGACATTACAAACTCCTAATTAATTTCTGCTAGTAATGAGAAGGGCTACGCAAAGGTGATAGCATCTCTTTAAGATAGTGAGATATGGGTGTACAAAGAAACTTGGGAGTTTAAGTAGAGACGTTTTTGAGGGACGCACGTCGACCGAAAGTGGACGTTTTGTACTCTTGAGCCGTGATTTTTGGGCAAATCGTCTCTATAAGGGTAAAGACTCTTGGCAATACAAATTTGGAAGCGTCAAGACAATTTAAAATAGAAAACGGCTCACTTCCGTTTGACGCGCGTCGCCCAAAAACGTCGCCGCTTAAATTCCCTAGTAACCAGGGAGAGAAGGGTCCTGTGTTTTACAGTGGGACTTTTACAACAGTTGGTATTGGTCAACACAATACCATCACATGACCATGTGATCAACTTTCTGTAAACACGAAAACTTCGTTCTTACGTCTTGTGGGCCTCAAGTTTTAGTTTGTTCATGACAGAAAATTTATTTGTGGCCCCTAATGCATAAAGGAAAGATTTTACGACAGTGTAAAGATTTCAAAATTTGCAAGGATTTGTATGGAAAACCACATATACTTGCGTGGCAAGTGTTGCTCATGTGCATTTGCTACTTTTTATATATATGGCTGAAAATGTCCTAATTTTAATATTTTCTTTCAGTTGCTGCTAAATACATTTTTCCTTTACGAACTGTTTTCGTGTTTACAAAAAGTTGATCACGTGACCAACTAGTGCAAAAGTCCTATCGTTTTGACTACTTCCTAGATGCATTTTAAGTCAACCTCAACTTACAGTCCCGTGATCAGTTTAGTTTTCTGGAAAACTGCCCACTTACCTCTCCTTACTCAACTTTAACATTTGCGTCTCACTTAGGGCAAACTGTTTGGTTAGGGGAGGGGTAGGTGAGCAGTTTCCTAGAAATCTAAATTGATCCCAGTCCCTCTTATAGTGTGAGTGATGCCTCCTTTACCTCAAGTTCCACATAATTGCAGTCAAATTATGTACGACAATGGTTGCCCAATTAACTACTCTTACAGCGTCGACGTTTTGCTGGAATCCTTCGAACGACTGCTGCCACTGCTGCCTCGTTTGAACTCAACACGCTGCTCTTTAATCTCTTGTACCTTTTTCGTGCGTGTGACAGTTTCATTTGTTCTCCCCTGAGAGGAGCTATCGCCTCCCTCCCCGCTTGTAGTGTAGTGGGTCTTGAACGTTTGGAATCTTGAAGAAGTGGTCTGCAGTGGTTTCACTTCAGTAGTGACCTGCATGGGTTCAAATTCTAACTTCTCCTCCGCCTCCACTCTCACACGAATTGGACCGGAAGATCCTTCGACCTGCGAAATGACATTTTGACTTTTTTCTTCTAGCTTCTCAGGGGATGCCTCGATTCCGTTTATAGGGGAAACGACTCGAAATTCTAAAGAACCCTGGGGGTTCTCCGAGCCGGACGAGGGGGCGTACAAGGCACTGGTCTGCAATTGGGTGATTTTAGTCATGACAGTACTGCTGCTGAATGTTGACGTATGACTTCTAGTGTCTGTAGCATTTAACGTTGTGGGCGTAATGGATTGGTATGCGGGGTCGAACGACACGTTTAGCTTAGGACTGGAACTGGATTCCAAGTGTCTTATTTTAAAAGGGCTGCTGGGTGGAGTGTTATCAGAGGCCCCGTTATTACTTACGACTGTGATGGCTGGCTTGTCTGAATCTTCATCAACCTGGTAACGCTGGATTGGAGTCATGCCTGTCTGAATTCTGGTTATCTTTGTGGTGCTGGTGGTAGTGCTACCCATGCTTGAACTGCTACCCGTGCTTGTCTGATTTGCACGCGTTTCGAAAGGACTTTTTACTTTGACCATTCTTTTCGGGTTCATTTGATAGCTGGATACCTCCAAAGGTACCGCCTTCTCTTTAACGTCAACCATGAATTCGGTGTGACCGAACGTTGAAGATTGTGCGGACTCTGTGGTCGCCGACTGCTGGGGCACAACGACTTCCCTGGTAACTGTAACACCTTTTGGTGGCATAATGTAAGACGTGGTGTAATGCGCATCAACCTCTTGCTCTGGTCTCATCATTCCCTTCAGCCGGAAAATCTCCTGGTTCAACTCTTCGATTTCTTTGATGTAGCCATTACATTCCAATATTTTGGACTCCAGCTCACGTTTCAAATAAGTCACGTCAGTCTCAAATGACGATCTCACATTCTTTATTTGCACGTCCCTGTCCTTTCTCTCGTCTTCCAAGAATCCCTCAAGCTTCAGTACTCGGCTGTTTCTGTGGTTAAGCTCGATGTCTAATTCCGCTAGTTTCTGATTCAGTACCTGAATCTCGCTTATGTAGCCATCGCATTCCACTTGTTTGTTGCTGAGCTCTCGCTTGAGCCTTTCCAAATCCTGCTCATTAGAACTGTTTAGGATCCGCAGTCGTTCAATCAAAGTTTCTTTCTCGATGATCTCCGTTTTGTACACTTCTATTCTGCTCTCGATCTCTGTAATCTTCTCAAGCAGCACCGTTGTCTCACTCTCCGTCATACTCTTCTCTGTTCTTGCCTCGCTCATCTGCTTCGTCAACACTTCGAACTTGGTGCGAATCGTGGAGAGCTGGGATTCGAGATCGTAATTCTCTTGATTAAGCTTCTCAATTTCCCGGATATAACCTTCACATTCCACCTCCTTTGTATCCAGTTCTCGCCTCAACTTATCGATTTCGCCATCGTTGTTTGAGATCTGCACACGAAGCTTTTCAATGACCGTTTCTTTCTCTATTATCTCTGTCTTGTACTCCTCGATGCGAGTTTGAATCTCGATAATTTGTTCGTGCATTAAGCTCGCCTCGCTTTCACCTTTACTTTTCAGTTCATCGGTTTGCGCTACCGCTATATCTTTGTCTGTCCGAAGTTCCGTTAATTGAATCTCTAGTTTGTTGATGGTATTGCGAAGCGTATTAATCTCCATTTCTTGGTCTGCCTTATCGTGCTTAAGCCTTTCAATGTCCTGCTTATACCTCCCACATTCGTTTTTCTTGGAGGACAAATCTCTCTTCAGACGGTCGACCTCTTGCTCAAAGGAAGTTGTTTGGAATCGCAACTTTTCTATTATAGTCTCTTTTTCAATAATTTCTTTCTTGTAGCTCTCGACTCTCGTCTGTATTTCTACAATCTGTTCACTCATGACCTGAGCATCAGTCTCCCCTTTCGCAGTGGATTCCACGAGTTGCCTCTCGAGGCCTTCTTTACCGACTCGTTCTTTCCGCACGTCGCCTTCAAGAATAATCACTTTTTCCCGAAGCGACATTATTTCAACAGTCAATTCTGATTTGTCTTTGGTAATCTGCTCGATTTTTTCCAAAGACATCTTGAACTCTCCGTCCTTTGAAAGAAGATCTCTTCTTGTGACTTCAAGCTCATACTTCAAGTGCTCAATTTCGTCTTCCTTAACGCTGATGTCTCTCTTAGCGTTTTCAAGCTTCGTTTGCAGCTCAGACACGAATTTCGCATAACCAGATGACTCTTCGTCTCCGCGGTTCCTAGTGTCCACCAGCTGTGCTTGAAGTTGAGCCTTTTCGGATTTCTCGGTATCGATCAGCACAGTTAACTTAGTAACTTTGCTTCTTAGTGCTAGCAGTTCCACCTCCATGTCAGACTTTTCCTTTCTGGTGTCCTCTAAATCTTTGATGTAATCCTCACAGTCATTCTCTTTGGCTTCTAACTCCGTCTTAGTGATGTGGAGATCATGCTCCACCTGAGAAACACGTTCTTTAAGCTCTCGAATGATGGTTTCTTTTTCAATGATCTCTCGTTTGCAAACTTCGATCTGGTTAGTGGCGTCTTTTATCTGCTTCTTAAGGTCATTGCTTTGATTGGTACTTTTGCCCACAACTTCATTAATGTTCTGCCTAAGTTCTTCCTTGTCCTTCTCGTGCTCCTCGACAAGAATTTCAAAGTTTCGTAATTGTCCACGAAGCGTGTTGATTTCAATTTCCATGTCAGCCTTTTGTTGGTTGCTCTCCTCGAGGTCCTTTACGTAATCATCGCATTCTATCTGTTTACTCTGGAGATCTCGCCGTACTCTATGTATGTCGTCTTCTAGATCGGCCTGTCTGTTCTGCATTTCTTTGATCACGCGTTCTTTTTCGATTATTTCTTTGCGGTACGTTTCTATTTCCACTCTTAATTCGTTAACACGGCCAGCAAAATCCCTCGATTGGCTGTCTCCCATGTTTTTATAATCTTCTAGCTGGGCTCTTAGGTTATCTTTTATCTTCTTTTCTTCCTCAATCTGAATCTGCAATTTCTTTACTTTAGTCTTGAGGGAAGTAATCTCGTTTTCTAAATCGGACCTGCCCTGGTTTGACAGCTTGCTTGAGTCTTTGACAGAATCAATTTGGCTTTCAAGTTCAGCCACTTGCTGCTGAAGTTCCATATTTCGTTCCTGAATATGTTCATATTCCAGCTCTAACTTGGAGATCCTCGTCTGATATTCAACAACTTCCCGTTTCAGGGTACCAACTTTATTTTCAAGCGTTTGATTTGAACTTTCTAGCCCCAGGTTCTTTTCTTTTTCGGTCTCCAAGTCATGTTCGAGCGAAGAAACCTTTTTCAACGCGGCCAGAAGTTCCAACTGAAGCTCGCCCTCACGTTCCTGTAGCTTTTTATAATCAGCCTCCATGGTGGAAAATATCTGTTCAGATGAGACTTCGGCTTTTTCCTTCTGACTCTCGAGTACAAGGTCATGGAGCTTTCGTTGCATAGATTCAACTTCTTTAACCAACAAGTCTTTCTCTTGGCCCCAATCTGTAGCTTCTTCTTGAAGATCTTCAAGGCGCCGCCTAGCAGCTTGTAGCTCTAAAGTAACTTTCTTGTGCTCGGCCGTTAAGATCTGTAGTTCCTGTGTCTTGTCAGATAGGTTTTTCTGCAGCTCAAGCACCTTGTCCTGGAGTTTGCGTCTTTCTTGCTTGACTTCCTCTAGAGAATGTTCCAACCCGGAGGCTTTCTCTCGCAATGCGTTGTTTTCTCGCTTGAGGGTATCTCTTTCTACCTTGATGCTTTCAAACTCAGCACTCAGTTCTTCAGAGAACATGTCCGGAACCGCTGCCTCTACAGTAGAAACGCTCTGGACGGCGATAGTCTCTTCTCGGGAAATTTTTAGCTCATCATAGAGTCTCTGGACTGAAGCGAGTTCCATTTTAAGCCTCTCGTTTTCGTCGTTCAGTAACCGAACAGTACCCTCCAGCTCAGTGTACTGTATATGCAGCTTCTGAAGCTCAAACTTTGTGTCTCGTTGTTCCATCAGCACTTTGTCGAGTTCAGTTCGAACGCGGTCGAGTTCTTCCTTCATTTCGGTCTTCTCGCCTTCTAAAGAATCATTCTCTTCCTGTAGCCTCTCAATTATTGCTTTCTTCTCAACAAGTTCTCGGATTTGTTCTTCATAGAACTTTTGCTGGTCTATTAGTTTCTTTTGCACAACAGTGATCTCCTGCCTTAAGTTATCATTCCTGGATCTAATCTGATCCAGCGATCCCTTGAGCTGTGCGTTAGCTTTCATCTGATTCTGCAACTCCTCTTCCAGGGAAACGACTTTGCTCTGAGAAGTCTGCAAGGTCCTTTGCAGCTCGATCTTGGCGTTGTTAGCAGACTTGTAAGCTGACTCCCAGTCAGCCATCTTTTTTAGCGCCTCCATCAGTTCCTTCTGTTGCGCGCTCAGTTGATCTTGACTCGTCTGTAGCATTGTCTCCGTCTGAGCTGTCTTCTGTTGACTGGCGAGTAAATCCTCCTGCAGACCCTTAAGCTTGTCTTCATAAGATGTCTTGTAGGCTTCTAGCCGGAATACCTTGTTCTTGGTTGATTGAAGCTCTTGTTCTAGGCTAACAACCTTCTTTCGCAGAGTTTTGTAATCGCCCTCGTCAACTACATCTCGTCCGTGAAGCTCCGAGAGGCTGTTTTCTAGGTCAGATATCCTTTGGACCTTCAACATAACATCGTGTTCTAACGCCTGGATAATTCGGCTGGAATCTCCATGCTCCAACTCAAGTTTGGATATTCTCCTCTTCCCATCCAGGTATCTCCTCTCTGTGTCCTCCTTCTCATTCAGAATCTTCTGGTACGATTCTTCCAAGTCTTTCAGTCTCTTGAGTGTACTTGCATCGGTTGGTTTCTTTTCTCGCTTATCCGCTTGCACTGTTTGTATATCGACGTACTTCTTGTTTATAACAGTAATGTCACTTTGCAGGCGATCTCGGTCAGCCTGGAGAGCGTTGAGACGTGCTCTCAATTCAGTATTTTCCCGCTTGAGATCTGTTATCTCTTTCTTCAAACGGACCTTCTCTTCCTCTAGAGTTTCATTCCTCGCTTGAAAATAAGAAAGCTTGCGATTAATTGAAAGTATCTCGTTCTGTAGCCTGTCTACCTCTCTTTTGGCATTCGCAAAGTTGGACTTATACTCGTTTACAGACGTTAAGAGTGTAGCTTTCTCTTGTCTCAATTTGTTCTTCTCGTTCTCGGCGAGGTCAAGGCTGTGTTTGAGAGCGTCAATTTTGGACTCAAGTTCTTGCACCTTTAATGTTAGTGCTGCTAGATCGTGCTGGGCTTTATCGTAGTCTTCTCTGTATAAAGCCACTTTTCTCTTAAGACTCGTCACCTCTTCTTCGAGGGTTTTATTGTTGGCATGATACCATTCTATCTGCTGGTTCTTTTCTTCAATGGTCTTGTCGACGTTGTCCACAATGGCCCGAAGCTCAGAGATCTGTCTTAGAACAATGGCGTTTTCATCTCGCTGCTTGTCCATGACGCCTCTTGCTTTCTCCAGCTCACCAAGGAGGGTGTTCTTTTCAACGTTAAGGCGATGAACATCGCCCTCTAACACACTTATTCTCTTCTGGTCTTTAATTAGCTCACGATTAAGGTCTTCGTTTTCGTGGTCAAGCGCCTTCACTTTCATCTCTAGCTCTGTAGACTGCTTTCGCAAAGAGAAGTTTTCCTTCTCCAAGTCATCCTTTCTTTTTTGAGCTTTATCCAGCGTGGCTTTCGTGGAAGACACCTCGTGTCTTAAAGCGTGCACTTCTTTTTGAAGAGAGTCTCTCTCTGCTTTGATGCTGTCCTTAGGTGTAGCATCTGCCTCATCACCACCACGGACCAACCACTCTTGAAGTTGGCGTTCTGCGTTGAGGAGCTGTGTCTCATTTTGTGACACAACGTTAACTTGTTCCTGTAGCTGCACTTCCATGGCCGCCTTCTCTTTGCTGGCAACATCAAGGTCTTTCTGAAGGCGGGTGATCTGAGTTGTTTTTTCTTCCATCACCTTGGTTACAGTGAGTAGCTCCCTAACTGCACGATCTCGGTCATCTAAGAGAGCAGTGATTTCGTCCTTCAACGCTGACACATCTTGTTCCAAGACCATGATCCTTTCATTCTGAATTTCATTCGTTGATTCCAGTTTGGACACCTGTGTGTGGTAGCTCTTGATTTTATCGAGAAGGTCCCTTTCCTTGTCTTGGTAGGCTCTGATCTCGGTCTCTGAGTCAGTAAGCTTTCCTTGCAGGACAGCTACTTGCTCTGTAAGTCTTCGTACGTCTCCCTTGCTTCCTTCATAAGTGTCTTCCATCAATGTTGTTTTTTCTGAAATCAACTTGTAACTCTTTTCAACTTCTTCCTTGTCACGCAACATAACATCGTGATCATTCTTTAACTCACGAAGTTCTTTTTGTAACTCGTCAATCTCATCTTCTAAGGTCTTCTTAATTTGTCTCAAGTCATCAATAACTTTGTTCTTACCATTCAAGTCATTTTCTAGGAAATCAGTCTTGCTTTGGAGGTCAGTGATGGACTTTTTCTGAATCATGCTTTCTTCGCGACTCCGGTCAAGTGACGACCGAAGCTCAGCGATCTTGTTTCTGTTAGTTTCGTCGGTTCTAGTAAGCTGCACCAGTTGCTCTCCTATGGAAGACACCTTTTTTACTTGGTTATCAAGCTCGTTTTGGAGGCGATCTTTCTCCAACGCCACTTTTCTTAGCTGACCCTGAAGTTCATTGAGCACTCTGTTAAGCTCGATATTTTCCCCTTGTAGGCTCCCGACTTCATCTTTCAGCCTCTCGACATCCTCCTCTGCGGTTTTGAGGGCATCCTTCAAAGAATCAACCTGATCTTCGAGGTAGGTTCTCGCTGATTCCAACTGACGTATAAGATTGTCTTTCTCGTTTAACCTGTCTTGAGTTGTCTCTGTGATTATCTTCAGTTCGACCAGCTGCTGTTCTTGCTTTAGGTAGTCGTCTCTACTCACACCTGAAGTCCGTTGTAGCGCTCCTCCAAGCTGCTTCTTCAGCGAATCGATCTCCTTATCATCGTATTCGGATTTCAGCTCCAACTCTGAGATTCTGGTGTTTGCGTTGACGAGTTCTTCCCTCAGGTCGGTTTTCTCTTTATCGATTCTCACTCGCGTTTTCTGCAGCTCTTGCAATTTCCTCTGGAGCTGCGTGCCCTCAGATTCTAGTTCAAAGATTCGCTTTTGTGACTTCTTAAGATCCGTCTCCATCTGCACAATTTTCGTGGTGCGGACTTCAACCTCACTTCTTAAGTCGGCTTCGCGGCCCTGAGTAGACTTGTACAAATTTTCAATTTCAAAAATCTTGTCATCGTACTCCTTCCGGTCTTTTTCACTTAATTCACCTTGCCTGCCCAGCGTTGTCACAGTAACCTCGAGCTTGGATATGTTGATGTTTGCTTGCTGAAGTTGACCTTGCAAATTTCTAATCCGCTCTTGGCTGGAAACACGTGTGCTCTCGAGGTCTTTCTTTAACCTTGTCAACTCATCTTCGAGATTCTTCTTCGCGTTATTTAAAGTATCTGCCAATTTAATTTTGTCTTGAATCTCTTTAACCTGGTTGTTTATGGTGCGATCTTTCTCCACTAAACTGTTCTTAGTGTTCATAAGATCTTCTTTCACTTTGCGACAGTCCTCGCGGAAAGCAAGACCTTCCGTTTTGTAGAGATCTCTTTCCTTGGCAACACTTGTAAGCTGAGTCTCGGCGATGGTAATTTTGTGATCTCTCGAACTTATATCACGCAGTAGCTCTTGACGATTCTGCTTCAGATTTCTTATTTCTTGATCCATGTCCTCAATTCTCACTTGTAAGACAGCAATTCTCTTCTGCAGGTCTTCCTTCTCGGCCGTAAGCACGTCGCAGGTCACATTGTTTTTGTTCAATTGCCGTTTTGTTTTGTCTAACTCATCTTGAAGCTGTCTAAGCTTGTTATTCAACTCGTCGATCGTTTTATCCTTTCTGCCTATGATGGTATTCAACGTCTCGCCAAACTTCTCGTGTTGCGCCGATTTGTTCTCTATTTGAATGAAGCGTTCTTTACTCTCTAGAATCTTCTTGTTGGCAGCGTCGAGTTGATCCCGTAATTGGGTTATCTGTCTACGACAAGTCTCGAGCTGTGTTTCTTGCTTTGATGCCTTATTTTGAAGAGCATAAAGCTCTTTCTCAGCTTGATCTTTGTCATCTCGGGCAGCATCAAGGTCTGTCTCGACTTCCCTTAACTTGCTTTCAGTCGCCAGTAGTTTCTGATACTCCTTAGATTTCTCCTCATTAATTTGTTCAATCTCAATGTTTAGCGTGAGCATCTTTTCTTCGGCTACGTCCATGTCGTTTTCCAGCTTGTCAAGTTCTCTTTGTCTTCCATCTAGTTGGTTTTCTAACTCTTTCACTTTCTCGGTAAGCTCGCGTATCTTTTTTTCCAGGTCCACATTTCTCGCACGCTCCTCATCCAACAGAGCTCCAGCACCTTTTCCTTGCTCTTCGAAATCCATGTATGTTGACTCGAGATCGGACACCTTCATTTGAACAACTTCAAAATCGGTTTGCAGAAGTTCTTTGCTTTGTGTTGCAGTACTGTATAACGACGAGAGACGCGCGATCTCCTCATTACTTGCATCTAGTACTTTCTTAAGCCTTTTATTTTCTTCTTCAAGGACGCCTAGTTCCGTTTTTAAGCGGCTTATTTCAGCAAGACTGGTTTCCTTGTCAGAAGTTAACGCGGCTAGTTCACCTCTAAGTCGCTCGATTACGTCGTCCCTCTCAGCTATCTCTTTTTTGTAAGCTTCAGCCAGTTTGTTTAGATCAGTTAATCTGCCTTTAAGTGATTGAATATCTTCTGCATTCTTATCCTTAGTTGATCGAAGCTCTTGCACTTCTACGTCTAAAACAGAATTCTGCCTCGTCACATTGCTTAGTTCGTCCTCAAGTTTTGCAATCTTGTTCTTCAACATTGAAAGCTGCTGTTCCAAGTCGTTTCGCTGCTGCTCCACAATGTTGAAATTGGATTGTAAATTTGACATATCTTTATACACAGTCTGAAGATCTTCGTTTATCCTCTCTCTCTCATCCACTGCGACCTTGTAGTTAGTCTCTGAGTCACCCAATCTCCTCTGGAGCTCCATCTGTTCAGAACGAAGTTCCTCGGCTTCATTCTCCAGCATTTGGATCCTTCGCTCTAGTTTTTGTTCTTCCTCAAGGTAGCCATCGACCTTTGCCTCGAGAGATGACACTTTGGACTTAAATTCTATAATCATCTTGTCTTTTTTCTCTAGATCTCCGTTGAGTCGTTCTATTACCCTTCTGCTTTCAGACAACTCTTGCTGTACCACCATTAATTCTTTCTTTAGCTGGGTGCACTTGTTCTTCTCCGAGTCAAGCTCCGATTTGTACCTGTCTCTCGCTTTGGTGACGCTTTCCAGCTGAACCTCTAGTTTTGATGCTTTATTACGCTCTGTGGTGACGGTGCGTTCCAGTTCTCCCTTCTCCTCTTGTGCAACCCGCAGGGAATCAGAAGTGCTCAGGATCTTTGAATTGAGATTTTCGATAACCTTCCGAAGCTCGTCTCTTTCTCTTATTACAATGTTATATCGTCCTTGGAGATCTGTCACTGACATGGCCGACTCGTCAAGTCTGGACTGGAGATCTTCCATTCTACTCATTAGCTGCCCATCAACTTGGTCAGAGCTTCTTTCCTTTTGAACTTCCAGCTCTGTCTCCAACTCACTAACCCTCTTTTGCAGCTTCACCTCGACTGACTCCCACTCCTTCACGCGTTCTTGAAGTTTGCCTTGCGACGCCTGGAGGTTCGAGTACTTTCCCTTCACTAAGACTAGTTCCTTTTCAGTGGTCTCCTTCTCATCATAAACGGTCTTCACAGTGACTTCATACTCTTGAATGGTTTTCTCGTGCAGTGTGATCATCTCTTTCAGCTTCAGCAATTCCCGGTATTGTACATCCACCGTTGTTTGAGACTTATTCAACTCAGATTTAGCAGTTTCTAAACTGTCTTCCAGCGTGGAGTTTTGGGTTTGAAGATTTTCTATTCTGTGCGTTTTTAAGATGGACTCCTCCTTGTACTTGTTTGCATCATTCTGATTCTGCAAAACCTCGCGATGCAGTCGGGAAATGGTGTCTTTAGCCTTCTTGAGCTCCTCGCGGAGGTCGTCCAGCTGATGTTTGAAAGAATCTCTCTGCTTTACAGCATTCTGCACCTGCACCTCATACCTGCTTACGGTCAAGTTTCCTGTTTTTCCCGCCATCTCAGATTGCCTTCGGTACCTATCACAGTCGTCCTGGAGTCGAGCAAGCTTAGCTTGTAACGTGGCGAGTTCGCCCTGAAGCATATCTCGTTCATCCACCGCGTTTTTGCATTCTATTTCCAGCTGAGAGACAGTCTCACGTAGGAATGACGCTTCCATGTCGTCGGGTGAAGACTCTAGAACTTGCACCTGGGAAACCTGACTGGTCATCTGCTCCCGCAACATGATAAGCTCCTTCTCGAGGACCATCTTCTCAGTTCTTATCTTGTCCACGGAGTTAGTCTTGCTGCTGAGCTCTCGGCGAATAGACTCCAGTTCCCATTCCCGTTCACGAAGTCGGCGCTGGGTGGACGACAGTTCCTCCTGCTGTTTGTTGAACTTGGATTTCAAATCAGACAGCTGTTCCTGAAGTTGCTGATTTTGTCGAGTCAAATTATCTACCCTGGATTTCCACCTCTCTGCCTGTAAACAACAAAATTAAAGAGTACACCAGCATCAGGAAGAGAATAGCTTTACACTAAAAACAGCGCTGTGTAACAATCCTCATGGCCAAGACATACGGGGTTCTATATTTTTGTCAAAACATCCTAGAAAAATAGCAGCAGTTTTACTTGCTTGAAAGGTTACTCCCCCTTACGTTTCGCACTTGCTGTCCATGTGATCATTTTACCGATTTAAGGAGATTCTTTCCTTTCCCCTCTACGTTCTTTAATTATGTTATTAAACACAGTTGCCATAAATTGGTAGCAAAAACACTTATCAAAAGAAATAAACAACAGCAACAAACTAGCGAGGATCAGTCACTGTTTAGTGTGCCTTAGAACTGACCAACCCCACTGAAATATTAAAATGAACTTGTCAAGCTTACAAAGTGCAAAATGAGTGTGAACGTGCCGTGTTTTGGGTTAAACATACATTATATTTTTTGACAACGGTGAGAGTATTACTGGCAGTGGCTAAGGACAGAGTGTTTGCCTCTGTTTTGGACAGTGGAATCTCATTTGAAAACTGCGGCGGAAAATGGAGGCAGTGATATGAACAAGGTCAGGAAAAGTTTGAGGTATCAAAATTATATCTTCGTTTGAAACTTAGTGAATAAAACATGAAAAGCGACCACTCTTTAACAATATCAGCCATCGCGTTTGGATTCGCTTAAACCGCCATCTTAGAGGCTATTCGAGCTCGAAGGCTCACGAGAGCTGGCATGAATTCAGATACTTGGTATTGCAATGCTTTGTGGGACGGTAGGCGTCCCTCCTCTGAAGAAGTTCCAAGAACAACATCACCCACAGCTCTCCCGCATAAGGTTAAAAGCGCATATTTTCGATTAAACGCCAGAGAAAACGCCGCAAATATAAAATTTTGTTCAAACTTATATTTAATAACTTTATGATTTAATGAACTTTTGGAGTGATGTACGGCTGCGAAAAACCTATGAAACCGTGCGCAGGTTTTACCGCTTTGAAATAAACGCCAGTTTCTATTCAGTTAACACATTACACATAATTTTACTTCACTTACTAAGTTTCGCCATTAAAATCAATTAACTAGGAAAATATGTCAAAAAAAGAGACATTAAATAATAGACAAGAAAGCAGCTACAACTAAATCCCGGTTGTAATTGGCCCCTCACAAAGTAAAGAAGTAACGGAGACGAAATCATCGAAAATATAAAAATACAGATACTGGAGTTCACACAGAAGGCCGCGTACTACCCGACTGTGCTAATCCATGTTTCTCCAGCAAAGAAAGCACAGTCGGCCAATTTTAGTTGGACATTGTCCGATGTCCAACTATTTTTAGCAGAATTGAAGGCATTGCAAAGATGAAATGTGACGCCCCGGTGATTTTCAGCACAAAATATAGAGGAACTTTTGATGGTCTATGAGTTTCTCTGGTTCTTAACGTATTGCATATCACGTTATGACTCAGCTGATAAGGGCGCCGGAGGGTCCGCCACACAAGACACAGAAAACAGCGAGTATGGGGTGTTTGAGTACGCTCCCATTTCCGCATTTTAACAAAGAGAGCTACTCTGTTCTAGTAACTTCAATGCACGTTCCAGAATGCAAATGATTTGATGGACGGAAAATGCTATTGTACGTTATGTGTTTGGATGTCCTTAAGTTTAACCCTTTAAGCCCCAAGAGTGACCATCATCTATTTTCTCCTAACAATATCAATACACAATCAGGAGAAAATGTTGTGAGAATTATCAAAATAATCACATAAGGGAAAATGCTTTGATCTTTTATCAAATTCTCTCAACTTATTCTTTATGGAAATGCATGGAGATCAGTTTGGAGAATTTGTATGTGGATATTGGGGCTGAAAGGGTTAATGAGGCATAAAAGAACTTCGAGGTCTTTCAACAAAACTACGAATTTCGACAGTTTCTACACAAGACTTGGAAAAGTCAACGAAATGGAAGTCATTCGTGTTATTTAACCATATCATGATCTGGTCATATGTGCGAATTAATTTCAGACACGATTGATTTCTGTGATCATTCATGCCGTTACGGTTAAAGCCCATCCACGCCCCTCGTCACGAACTAAAATAAGATCTGTAATTACCTATGTAGCCAGAAACGTCTTGTAATCAAATTCTACATGTACGTGAAAATATATTTGCCTAGTAGAATCTAAATTATTTAAACACTAATTACTGTTAATCCTTTAACCTGTGAAAACCCTCCCTTTAAACACAACATAGTTGTTTATGGCAACGCTCTATTGGTTAGCTATCATGAGGCGTGAACAAGCCGAACGCTATGTCTCAAATCTTCCCACGAGAACGAAGCAGCTCTGGTTAATAAATTGTGACCAGAAAACAGAAAAACTGGTGTAGTTTTTGTTGAGCACGAAGAACGTTGACCGTGCAACATTGTTCTGCACAAAACTAATCCATCACGCAACTTTTCTTAACTTTTGAAAGTTATTTCAACTGGAATATACTGGGCGTTTGCGATAAGCAGGAATATTCTGCCCCCCTGCCGTCAGGATCGGAAGGCATTTAAAACCAGAAACAGCTGGAGTCAACGACGCTTTAAATTGCAACCACGGGGCCAAAAGTTTGCGTCACGGTGTCTAAGTCGGGGAATTAAAGGAGCTGTGAAACGAAATTTTTCAAAATTCAAACAGTCGGAATTGCCACCAAACTAAGTGAAACGCAAAACTAACTTCTCAAACCGTTACAAAAAGGAATATATAAGACAGAAAATACACAAGGAGGGGAGGGATGGGTAAACTGGAAAAAGACTGAAACGGACTGCAACTGTGGTTTTTGAAAACTTGTTAGCCTAACAGTTTTTTAAAATTTGTCTTTGTTCCTTGTACCGTTTGCTTTAATGCTATGGAGCCACATTTGTGTGGCAGGAACCTGTGCTTTTGGTATTCACGAGTAATTTTTCAAGTTCCATAGCTAATAACCACGCCCTATTGGCATTATATTAGCAAAAGGAATTAACCAGCCGTGAAACAGTCCCTTAACTAGTAATACATTATTTATGTAGAATTCGCGAAAGATGTATATACCGAGTCATTTTTTACCATGAAATACCTATTGGGACATTCGTGCACAGAAACGTACTTCTGAAGCCATTTTGTACGATTACTCACGCTAAGGGACAATAAGCGACCTCGTTTTTATATCCCCGTCGCAACTACCAGATGTAAAAAGGTAGTGAAAAGGACAGTTTTCACATTACGCCTTACTTCTCTGTGGCCGCTCTAAATGCGGAAATTCAAGTCATTTATATCTAACAAAAATAGAACTTCTACTATCCAGATTTTTTTCCTCTTTATATATATTTTTGTGCAGCCATGGCGAGTAAAAAATCAAATAAAATAGGGAGATCACCGTTCTCGTTCCCTCGCGAAACGTCAACAAAAGGGACAATTTCGCCTTCAAATGATCATTTTGCGCGAGGGGATTGGGGCGAGTTTCAAGACGAACACCTTTTTAACCAGGTAGAATTATCAAAATCGCTAAGAAAGCATTAAGAATACAAAAGGGGCCTTAATCACCTCGTTTTAGGCGACCGGTGAAAATCACCGCCACCTCTGAAGACGCAACAGTGTGCGCAATAGGTGATGTGCAGTGCAAAGACAGGGAATTATCTAAAACATCATATTGAAATCTTCATGTCTAGGATTTTGTAAGGACAAACTGATAAACAATTAGGCTCTCTGTTGGGGGGATATGGTGCAGAAAACGTCAGGAAGCACGATCGGAGGTGGGGGGAGAAAAGTAGTGTCCCTTTCCTCTCCATACCACCCTCCCAAGAAATCTTAAGAGAAGTTACGGTACACCATCTTTGCGTTTAAGCGGCACACAAAACGTTACATTTAATCAATAACCAAGAGTCGTCTTAATGCTGGTGCGTACAAGTGCGAAAAGAGAGACACGTCTTCCTTATCTTCATACAAGGGAGCTTTAGCAACAACGACGGCGACGAATACGAAAACGTCAGTAAAAATTGTGTTCGCGCTACTTCAACCTTAATCGCGCTTAATCGTTTCAAATTTTCGTCTATAACGTGATGGCGAATACAAATTTTTATCATCAAGGCATATTAAGAGGGAAAATGACTCACTTCCGGTTGACGTGCGTCGCTCAAAAACGTCGCTGCTTAAGCTCCCTAATGGCGCTTATTCCCTCTCGTTCAATTCGTCAAGTGATGGCGAATTTTTCTGAAGTTCGTATCAACGTTCAGGAAAAGAAAAAAGAGGGTCGTTGTCGTGCGTTCACTGTTCCCCACAAAAGGTGAAATTAGGCAGTGTCTCGTCGTAGTCGTGCAGTGAGGGCAAAGAAATGTACAAAAAAGCGTGATGCACGTGCAAAGTTGTTGTTACGCCAATCTAAACCTATTGCTTTTTTGCCGTTCTCGTTGCGTCAACGTAGCTCCCTATAAATGGCACTATTGCTTCTTTTAACCACAGGAACCCCAAGCTCACGACTGAGAATCGTTGAATCGCTGTTGTGTAACAGAAATATTATAAGAGTTTGTATGGAGATTTAAGCGATCGTTATTTAGGGGTCAAAATAGTGATAAAAAATTAAAATCAGAATTTCTTACCTGGTCTCCTTGTCTAAGTTTATGCTGTTTCAGTTAGCACTTTTGGCCGTTTCAGGGCGATTGTTTATTCAACGAACAACGGTAGAACTAAAACTCGCTGGAATCACCCTGAAACAGCCAAAAGTGCTAAGAAAACACCATAAATTTAGACAAAGAGACCAGGTAAGAAATTCTGATTAATTTTTATTACTATTTTGACCCCTAAATAACGATCGCTTAAATCTCCATATAAACTCTTGTAAAATGTCTGTTACGCAACAGCGATTCAACGATTCTCTCTCTTGAGCTTGGGGTACCTGTGTTTTAACATATGTTATGTAACCATGACACAATCATTTAGCTTGTGGGGTCGTTATAAGCTGTTATATCAGACCGGATATTTGATCTGAGATCTGATCTGACCTGATTATCCGTCGAGCATCCCCGTGGTATTCACATGGGAGTCGCCAAGCCCCGCAAGCCCACCCAAAGAAAAACCGCCTGGTAAACCGCGAAAAGGGACAAATAATTACTCCTACAAACCTTGGATAATATTTCAACAAAGTTGCAACACGATCGTATGACGCTTCGATTGGTCACGTTCACATTCTGTGGTAAACAAGGGCGATTCGTGGCATTCGTGCAACTAAATTTTCAAACTGGACTCAAGGTCAAACAAAAATCCTCTGCGCTGTTTGCTAAAGTCTGCTAAGACTACGATTGATATTAAAGTAGTTAAAAATGTTAAGGGAAAAACCTAACAATAGAAGGAAAACGCCCAACTTAGTACTTAGACACTACGTTTCCAATCGACATTGATATCGACTAATCAGCCAAAAATAACCGAGTAAGCGGCTAGGCAATCCTAGACAGTTAACTGACATGTTACTTGGCCACAGACAATAGGTATAACGGGAACCAAAAGTATGCCAAAATATCAAATTTGAATCAACCTTATTTACATCTGGGTAAATAGAATGTACATTTTAAAACTGGCCACGATGAGAAAAAAACTTGGTTGCAAATTTAAGTAACTCTCTTTCATGAATCTGGGCAAAGTTCAAATATTCATCTTCCTTCCTCCACAGGTACCCCAAGCTCACGAGTGAGTTGCGTAACAAAAATCTTGTCTGCTTGTCTTGTTTGTGGTACGTTCTTAGCATTTCTGGCCGTTCCAGCGCGATTTTAGCGAGTTTTAGTTCTACCGTAACAGAACTCAACTCGCTAAAATCGCGCTGAAACGGCCAGAAATGCTAAGAACATACCACAAACAAGACAAGCAGACAAGGTAGGACGTTTTGATGTATTTTTATTTCTATTTTAGTACGCTAAATAACGATCGACAAATTTTCCATACAAACTCTTATAATATTTCTGTTACGTAACCCAATTGTGAGCTTGGGGTACCTGTGCTTCGTCTTTTTTACTCTTTGCTGTTCGAAAAAAGACTTGGGGTTTCAGATTTGGTTATTTGAGAGTCTCATCTGCTACGCCCGTTTTAAAGGTCGACCTTAACATGTCTCGAATTTAACGCTAATGTGGAAAATCTATTGTTCTGGTCCATTTCCATTAATTTCGGCACGTGTAAAGTTGGCCGACGTTTATAACGGGCGTTAATTAATCCCCAGTTATCTACTTCTCGTGAAGAGATTTGATACTTTGTTTCTCATGACCCTTCCTGTTCTAAGTTTGTTCTCTAAACTTGCCTAAACCAACCACGTTGTTACAAACTGCATCTGACTTTATGGTGTGCTTGAAAATCAGGCCTTTCTAGCGGGGAGGGGAAGGGAGAAGAAAAGAGAGGTTGGTTACGTGAGATACTATATTTTTAAAGGCCTTCTCAGCGTTACCTCAAGTAATCTACTTTTGCGTGTCGTTTTGATTTTTGTTATGCAAGGGCGTAATACAGTTGCTCGCCGCGTGCAAAAGTTAAGTATTTGAAACAACAGGTTGTCATTTTTTTTTGTCAGTTGACGTTCAAGTTATAAGCACTGAATACGCTGAAACACGGATTCGACAAAGGCTCACTAAAAAGACGCTCTTCGCAACTAGAGTATAGTAGAAGTGAAGGATGGCTTAGCTGAACCCAAACTTAACTGGGTAAAACGGCGCACTAGTGCTACACACGAACCAAACTTAATTAATTTGGCATATGTTAAATATGTTGAATACAGTCAGATCTGTATTACGTGGTCACCGTTGGGGAATTGCCAACTGACCGCTTAATACAGGTTGACCTTTTAATACAGCTTCGATAAAAAAAAACCTAAGAGTTTATCAAGAAAATAAAGAGGGTGACAGAGTGAAATATCCATCGCACGAAAAATTGTTCTCAAAGTGTTTCTACCTCTTCTTGTGCCAAAAGAAAGGAAAAGACAAGTAACTAATACAGGTTCAAAATTCAGCCAAATCAGGTCATTGCAAAATGCCCGTTAAATTAAAAGAAACATAAAAATGACCGCGTAAAACATTAAAGGAAGGTTAAAATAACACAACAGATACAACAGATGCCACGGATGGGCAAAACTGAAGAAGATTGAAACGGATTGAAATTAGGGTTTTTGAAAACTGTTCAGCCTAACAGTTTTTCAAAGTTTTTCTCTGCTGTTTGCAGCTTCAAAAATAATGCTTAGGGGACATATCTGTTGTCTCTAATCTGTGATTCTGTCATTTACATGTAATTTCTTTGCCTACTTTAAGTTCCATAGCGATTGAGGGCGAGTAATTGGCAAAATAAAACAAAATGAACTGGACTGCCGTGACACAGCCCCTTTAACACAGGTTTGACTGTACATCGATTGACCCGGGACCAAACTATTTCAAACATCCTTACCCATGTTTTCACCTATAGGCAAATAAGATAACACGAATAACGGGCGGATCAAACAGGAAATCAAGGTCTTTTTCAAGGACCATTTTCCTTTTTCAAGGTCTCTCCCTTCGACAACTATTTACATCAAAAACACACTTTACAGGCAAAGTTTCCAGCGAAAAGGGCTGCCAATAACATTAAACACAGCGCCATGAAATTTTATTACTATCCTCGACAAAAATATGTGCCATGCTCAAGGGTACAAAGGTTATACCTGTACATACTTAAGGCTGCCGGTCACTTTTCTTGTCGAATGGCGCGCAAACTATTTCAATATGCTGTCTTTTTCAGACATGATTAAGAAAAACAGGAAACTCAAATTTGTGCTTGGTCCGTCAACAACATTTTGGTACATCCAAAATTTCATCCGCCTGGAAACTGAAACGAGCCCGAGGGTATACAGTAGAAAGTTAAGAACAAACCGATTTCTAGGAACTTTTATGATTGAATTGGTTGATTACATTGTTTTTTCGTGCTCGACACCCACGGATAATAAAAAAATTGTCTTCAGCGTTTTCCTGTCATTGTGCTCGAAAGAATGTGGTGGAATAAGTGGGAGATGAAAAAAGTTTCAAGTGTCACAAATCATGGTTTCGTCTTCTGAGCCTAGCGTAAACTAAACACTAGACTTGAGATCTATAAAGCATTTCAGGATGGCTTGACAAAAAGGAAGAAAAAACAAACTCAAATTTAAAAAAAAAAAATCCAACAAACTGCATTAAACTAACGCAATGAATAATCAGCGTTGAACGCAAAAACCTGTCATTTCCTAGAATCTTAATAAAATGCAAATATCTATGATACTAGAATTATTAATATTAAAGAGCGATTCGACGGGTTGACTGGTTTAACACTGAAGATTACAGACTGGAATACCTTTGCGGGAATGACGTTTAATTGGAAATGGATGATGATATTTTAATCACTGATCATTCCACTGAGTTGATGGTATTGTAATCATTACATTATATTACAGTCATACCTCCTTAAGAATGACACTAAAGGAAGATTCAAGTGTCTGCATTACAGACAAACTACCTTAATACGGACACCAAAGGGAAAGAGTCAAGTGTCTGCATTACGTGTCTGTATTACAGTCATACAACCTTAATACGGTCACTAAAGGAACAAAGTCAAGAAGTAAGCAGTGTAATCGAAATTAAGGCCTGATGAACATCCATATTAGAAAGGTCAGATAGTCGTTCAAAGCCAAGTGACCGCATTACCATCACAGAGGTTTCTGTATTATAGAGGTGGGAATTGTATGAAGGTGGTATCCCAGGGTCAAGAAAACTGTCCGTACGTAGAAAGCCCAGACTGGAAACACAAAGTATCAAACGGACCAAACTGAAACTCGCAAGCTACGCATCTACAACATATTATCTTACACTGAAAGCTGGAATTTTGAAGATGTAAGATGCGTTCATTACAGTAAATATCATCTTTCAGAAAAATAACGGTTCCTACAGATGACTGCACGTCTAACAATAGACAAAATAGACACTGTCAGAGAACTTTGCTTAATCCTTCAAAATCACTCAAATTGATCTAATCTGAGCCGGACTGAATGAACCACAGGTACGATACCGTTTGTTTTGCATTGTTCTATAGGCATTTTTCGCGATCACTGTTCTGAAGCTTATGACAAATCTCATATGTTAAAAATTACATCACAAACGTTACAGAAACAGGTTGTGGGACTCCGTGACAGGGGAGTATTGTTTACTTTGAAAATGTCATATTTTCGAATTTCGTGAACAGTGTCAAAACTTAGAGCCTGTTTGAAATAAACAGCACCACAGGAAAGTACTACTCAGTCTCGTTTTATTTGAACGTTCGGCGCGTTAGGATTCCATTCACTGCTCAAACGTTAGAGCCACACTTTACAGCATAATAAACAGTACCATTAGAAAATACTGCCTCAGAAGCATTCATTTGACAGGTCAGGCGTAAGGCTCTGATCCATTACATTTAAATGGTAGAACCACCTTGTACAGCAGACAGTAATATGCATGTCGAATGCAGCATTGCACAAATACTGTTCAAGTCGTTTCAAAAGAAAAAAAAGCACCACAGAGACGTATTGTTCTATTTGAACGGTCACGCTGCAGGACGCTAGACAAAAAGCCTTCATCAACAAAGTCATCTGGATAAAAAACGAAACTCACAGTAATTTTGTTTTTGTCAGTAAGCCTGAGATGTTCTCAGCATATACACAACTCTATAAAGAGCATAGCTCTTATTCCCTTTATTTCAAAGACAAAGTCTTTCTGTGTAACGGCAACGAACTAGATTGTTCTTTCATTACTGTATCAACAAACTATAAAATGATAAACGACGAAGTGGTCCAATGGAGTTGAATAAGTGACACCTACATTCGAGTGATTTCCTAGCCTAAATCGGGGCCTAAATCCCCGGCCTAAATCGCCAGGGCTTATTGCAAATGGAAAACTTGATCTATTTGGTCCGGAAACTGTTCCATCAAACGGGCGTTCGAAATAGTATACTTCTATTCAAAGGTCACCACGTATCTGCCATCACCAGACGACAGGAAAAAAATTATCTTTTCAATTTTTGTTTTGCAAATGACGAAAGTAAACTCATCCAACGGCGCTCTCAAAGCTGCTTTTTTTTTAGTACAATTGTTGCTGATTTTGCTAGGAGCATGCCATGAAAATATGAAAGCATGATGTAAAGGCGTACTATTAATCCACGTTTTAATCCCTCTATTAAGCCTTAGTAATATTGTACAGCCGACGAAGCAAAGTAACGCTCATTGGTTTAGCTTACACTTTATGATTTCATACACAGACTCAAAAGCTGTAACCACCTTGTGAAATATGACAAACAATACCACACGGCACAGGAAAAAAGTAATGCTTAGAAGATTTTTTCAGGAGAATGACGCGATGTTACTTCGAAGATTATATCTATAGGCTTAAAAGTTAGAAAACATATTATGAACAGTACCAAAGTAGAGCAGTGCTCAGTAACTTTCCTTTGAGTGGTCACACCATAGAATTTCTTTCGTAAACTCCACTGTTCATACCACCCTTAACAGCCTAATTGACGGTATTTTAGGAGAGTACTGGACAGTGACGTTCATTTGTCCATGAGTGGTTACACCGCAAAATAGCAGTTTAAAATCAGATAAACTGAAGACCAGCAAAGTACAGCTCAGCAGCTTTCATGATTTGAATGGTGGTCACGCCGACTCAAAAGTTATACAAGCTACTACAAGAAGTACAAGTCAAACAATTGTAACGAGAGTAGTTACACGCTAGAGTTTCATCCAAAAATGGGACTTTTTCATTTACTTTCCAGAAGTCAGTTTAATTTAACATGTACTTCTCTCCGCCTTAATTGCGGAGAAAAAAGCGAAAAAGCACTGCTCAAACTGATATTAGCGTCCATTTGAATAGCTCTTTGATGAAAGAGATTGCTCCAAAGATCCTCTATAATGGTCTTTGTTGCGATCAAAGTATCTGTTCTTTCATTTTTGCTCGTAATAGAAAACGTCAGAGATTTTCACTCGGAGAGACCAATACTACATCTAAATAGGGCGCATTAGTTTATCTAATTCAATTAACATCTAATTGTGTTAAGTCACTTCATATTGGCGTTATCACTAAATTTCTATGAGATAAGTACCACGCAAACGAGAAAGTAAAAGAAAATCTTGGAAAAAAGATGCATTAGACTTTTAAAATAATTCCTGCATGCATCATGAAGCTTGTTCCTATGAGAATTATTATTCAAGAAACAATTAAAATCCCCTGAGACAATAATTAGAGGCTAGTTTTTAATATCTCAGTTAAAGGAGGCTATTAATATAAGGATAATTGCAACATTAATCCCCTCATCACGAACTTTCACACGAGAAAACGTAGACAATTGAATTGCAGAATGACACGTTGGTAATTTGGTTTTTAGTTTTTGGCGTTATTTTGGTCAACTTAAGCAACAAGATGATGGAGACAAGGCTTAAAAACACACTACCCAGAAAAATTTAACGTTATCTTTTAAATGTCACCCACAACAGTGGAATCCTGTTTTAATTGACCCCTGCTACAGTGAGTTAGGCAGTCTCGTAAGATGGTTCAAACTTTTGAGTCTGTGAACAAAATTCTGGTGTGACAATTCAAATGAGACCTTTTTTGCGGTACTGGCACATGGTACTATTTATTTAGTATGTAGTTCTAACTTTTGAGCCTGTGGATGAAATCCTGTGGTGCCACCACTCAAATGAAACCTCTTTTGTCGTACTTTCACATGGTACTTTTTGTTTTTCATTATTTACAAAATGAAATTTAAAATTTTATGTGTCTAATTTAGACTTTGGCCTCTTTTTCTGGAAGTAAAAGGGTTGAAACGACCAGCGTTTGGTCGTAAAATCCTGGTCGTAATGACCAAATGGTCTGTATACGGTATACTGGTTGGTCACGAGGAGTAGTTTCATCGTAAGTATCTAGATTGCAGGGCGCTCAGTGTTTTATCAAGAGCATTAAAAGTTTTTTTTTAAAGTATACTCTGTGTTGTACGCAGCATTGGAAACTATTAAAATAACATGTGAAAACAACCCAGCACTGAGATAGTGTGACCGTTCCGTTTAACTTGCGGTCGTGTAGAGAAGTTCAAGGGCTGTAAGTTCAAGATATTTCGACTAACATTCTGTATTTTCGACACCAGTAAAAATTTAATTTCTTTAACTAATTGTTGTTTAATCATAGATTTAATTGCCACATGGGAACATATGTTTCTCGAAGGAAATAAACTGAGCAGCTTGGAGAAAAAAACTAACTACTTCCGGATATTCATATTCTGGATTTGAGCCAGTTTAAAAAGTAATCATACTTCTCGGGTCCGAGGTAGGGAATTTTCTGCACCAGTAACATAGTTGCCTTGCGTGATCGGAGTTTTAAAAAACTAACAAAGATTTAATAATATCAATCATGTATTTGGCAAAAGTACTGTAAAATAGCAGAAGAGAATTATTGTAACATGAAAGTAAAGACTGAGGAACTTTTAAGAGGATGAAAATCACCGTTGCGTCTAAATTTGTAAACAAGCACAATCTGCCCCTAAAGGGCATCTTCTAGATGTTTTGAGTAATCATAAATAAAATTTACCTCGTATCGCCGCTCTTGTTTCGAAGCCTCCACTTGCAAAAGGAGTCTCTTGTAAGCTGCCTCGAGCGCGGTGAACGTGTCCTTTGCTTCGTCATAATGTCGCAACGCAAGATCGTCGTTGTCGAAGAATCCTTTGGAGATTTTCGACACCCGAGTGTAAGAGTAGACATCATCTCCAAACCTTGTTGTACTTGTTGCTTCAGTTGTAGCGCTTTTATAAGTCTCCGTTCGCTCGTCAACGCCTGAAGCCGTTGAGGCACTCTCTCCTTTCTTCATGGAACTCATTGCTGACCAGTAGACAAGATGGAACAGGAAGTTACCTATGGACTCAGACTACGAAGGTGGCATCCCCTGACCAAGCCTGCAAATGAAATGGAACTAGTACTTTAACTTCACTCTCTCACTTAATTTATGTCAACAAGCACATTCCAAAACACGTAAAATTTATGCAAATATAATCGCTGTCGCTAGTCACTGCTCAAGCGGTGGAGGGGACACATATATTATTATGCAAATTTGCAAGGCTCTTGAATCGCTCCACTGCTTTTGCGAAAGGGTCGCAGAATCCGCAGTAGGAAGGTGATCTTAAGTGTGGTCAAGTGTCGCAAACAAGTTAGCAATGATAAGTTTCTGCTAAGTAGATATGTCATATCTCAACTCTATGCAGGCAAATAAATGGAGCAATGATCAAATTAAAGAAAAAGATGATACTTAAGAGACCAAAAGGACGCCAGAAGAATCGATGAACGTTGTTTAGAGACGCAGACTTTTTCGAGGCCAATATCCTTTTGTTGTTAGAGATGTGACCTCACTAAGTCACGGAACAGTGAAGCTGTTACGTCGCCTGTCACCTTCGGTTTTGATTCTAAAAGATTCCCTTAGGAAACTAAAAGAACATTTCCCATTCCTACAAAAATAGTACCCACCAATGATTTTTATTCATCTTGAAATAGCATGTTAGTTTCCGGAGCCAAGCTAGCACTGGTGTTGTCGCATCACAGAGGGAGTGAACGATAAATAATAGTGGTCTCATGAACCCTTTTCGCAACTGATAGTTGCCGAGAAAAAATTTACCAGAAATTCAAATTTCTCTTTGCAAAATCTTAAGAAATAAATTGTACTTTGAATGTTAACAGCGTGGGACTTCGTCCACACATGCAGAGTTTAGACTGACAAATCATCTCACCAGAATTTAGTCTTCAAGTGAAAAGGTTATCTAAGTTGGACCACATTAAAGTAAAGGAACTCATAGCCAAAGTTTACCTTTGTCTGAACAGATACGTCAATTCACATGACAGAATCAGTTGAGTCCATTTTTGCGTTCATTAGCATGGTCACACTTAATGATTTCTCCACAGCTCCAAAAATAAAACTGGAGGTTGTATGCATGTACAAATGAAGACGGTCACTAATTTTCGTTTTGTTGATTGTATGTTGAAAATTACTGCTGAATACGATTCAGCTAGTAAAACCGACGATTTCAAGCAGCAAAACATTACGAGTATTTCGAGAAAAAAGAGAGAATGATTACAAATGCAGATAAGACGTTGATCACAGTTCATCGAATTTGTTTTCCGTGACACAGGCTTATCAGGAAGTAATCAGAAAATGATGATTGTTCTACTTTAAGAATCTCTTAGCTTGTTTGCCGACTACTTTTTCGGAGGTTTCTTTCACTCAAAAGGTTTCTGGTCAGAACAAAAACACGAATTTATTATCAATGTCTCTTTAAACCTTACGAAACGTCATTAAGATATGTTGATGACAGATACGGATCGTCGTAAAAATCAGCACTTTAACTCTTCAAAGAGAGCTCGTCGATTTACAACCCGAGTTAAGCTTGGTAAACTCATTGCAGCTAAGGACCAAATGCAAGAAGCCAACATAAAACGAGCGGTAGATACTTTCAGTAAAGGTTTTTAATTAATACCCTTTATAAAAAAAAAATAATAATAATAATAGTAAAGCAACTCACAAGAGCAGTCGTTCACTTATCATCAAAGCAAAACCTAAGACACACCCGATCTTCTTTGTCCATTAGAAACAGGAAACTTACGCCCTATCTTTTTTTTTAAACAATACGTTTTAATGCTTTAGCGCCCGTTTTGGGTGTTTTATCAACCTTCAAGGATCATTTAGCATTTAATAAGCGTTTGTACTTTAGTGTCTTGTTTAGTATTTTTAGACCAAAACTCAAACGTTGCCGGCGGCTTCTCGAGAATGGTTGGCGTCGTTAATTCTAATGAGGACAGGAAAAAATTAAAATAAACAAAGAACGAAAACAGACCCAAATTTCTCGAAGTTAGCTGTTTTTATTTCTCACTTTCTCTACTCTCCGCTACAGAACTCCACTTTCTAGAAAAACGAATTTATCAAATTCGATTTGCAAATTATAAAGTACCACGACGTTCCGATGTAGTAGGATTATATCACTAAAAAAACAATTTAATTTATTGAAAAGGAACAATTGGAGGGGAGTGACATTAAACTCAATACCAATCATAAGGCTAAATTTAAATTAAAAGTACGCGAGCAAAAATTGTTAAATTTCCGGCGGTCAATATTTGCAGAAGCGAACTTGATAAAAACACAGGAACACGAAAGAAAAGATGACGTAAAGATTGTTACTAAAGCTTTAACGTTTAAAGATTTCAGAACCTCTAATATTGTTAAGGAATGTCTGTCACTCTTTGAGGCTAGAAGTGTGGCTCTAACTTCTGTAGCTGCAAAATTTGCCGAATTTGTAATCATGTTCGCATGACCCTAGCTCTGTGCAAATAACAACTGCCCTTTTCTCGCTAAGAATCAGTAATGCTGGGGTAATTTTGTGGAAGCTCTAACTTGGAAGCATAACTATTACAGCTCTGTGTAAATAAAGACTGTATTTTCTCGTCAAAAATCAGTCGCGACTATTTTCATGAAACCTGTGCAGCCGTACTTTTCTTTGCTAATTTCGTTTTAGTATTTCAAAACAGGAAATTGGAAATTCTCTTTAATCCTAACTTTTAGCACTCTTTGTGTGCGGTAAAGGATGTTTAAAGGGTTGGTCGTTTTATGATGTTGTATCTGTATAAAATCTAAATACCTGGGCAATTCAGTTTTAACAAAAAGACCAAAAGTTATATTTTTGTCTGCCATTTAGGTTCTAACAATGTATGTAGAAAATTCGATCCCATATCAATTTTTATGTTGCTAATCAATACTAACTCAAAAGTAGGTATGATTAACAAAAACAGGGAAATACACCCATAATGAAATTATATTGAATTAAAACGGCACTTGTTGTCCTCCGTACGGTCTTACTGAAGACTTGCTCAGATGACAAAATGTTCGTATCCTTTCCCAAAAAATTGAGATAGTTAAAAGGAAATTATGCAGTCGAGCACTTGAAACAGTCGTTACCACCTTTTAGTACAAAGTTCTCTAGATAACGGTTTCGTGACAACGATAGGGGGTCGTCTCAAAGTGTGAAGTAAATATTATTCTTCGAATTTTTTCAATCAGCGCTTAGTTTAATCCAATATTTTTGGAAATAAATATTTCAAAAGAGGTTTTTGAAACCCAGGAGTGTAACCGAAGGCGGAAACAGAAATAGAGTAATATTGCTCCAACATCGGATTTCGGTGATTAAAATCAGATACCTACGGGTAGTTACTGTATACAAAAAATAACGCACCATGGAGGTCGTCTAAAAGCTTTCTACTCTCCTGTCGGTATGGAACTTAAATAAGATTTGATGACGTCAATTTAGGGTGGCAACTAAAAACAGTACCACTGTACAAAAGCGAGCAATTGATACAGCAAAAAAGGGTTCGAATTGAAATAAATCTTTTGATAAGTCAATAGGATTAAAAGTATAGCACATTTAAAAGATAAAGAATGGAGAACATATCCCCAGTGACGACATTAACGCTTATGTACGTAGTTGAAAGGGCACAAACCAATAAATTAATTCGTAACTTATGACAAGCTTACTCTTGTGAATCTTACGATCGTTCTTGATCATGCATAGATCTCATGATCAACTTATCGAACTCGTGTAGTGATGAGTGACAACCGGAAAGAGTTGTTTTCATAACCTTAAGTTTAAGGTAGGGTCGAAAAAGTCTAGGAAATTTGGACGTGTGGTTGTTTTTGAAAGCTGAAGTATACGCCCTTTTCCAGAGTCCATAATTACCGGAAATAAGTGGGAAATATCGTTTACATCGCAACAAGGCGCTAAAGAGAGCCATTTTTATTCCACTCCGGATTGAAAGAATATAAACAGAGATTAGCAGAACGCCAACGAAAACAAAGGTACAGATCAATTTGCTACGAGAATTTTTTCTCAGGCATTTAAACCTGCATCGAGAACTTTCCCACGGCCGTAGCTAGATCGGAAACGTATTTGCATTGCAATTCAACGTGGTAAACAATGCATCTTTAATACCTCCAGTGTTAAAGGGGTCAGTTGGATAACACACATTAATTTAATTCTTCCGTAGTACAATTGTTCCCAGTAGAATTTTCCCAGGCATACTGCATAAGCTGAACATGGGAACTAATCTAGAGGAGCGAGATGCCCTGACAGTCGGTCGAACGCTTTAAAAAGAATTGCTTTGTTGTCCTTTTAGAAGACCATATAAGCTTATTGTTAGCAATTTTTACGCTTGAAAAGTTTTGAAACTTCAACGAAACCAGACAAACGAGGATCACATAAGCTATCGGATACCACTTTTCGATCGTAAACGGCCGTTTATAGTTTTGTTATAAAGGGGCAACTGCTTGGGTTTGAACTTATTTTAAGTGAAAAACGAATTTATCCGTAGCACGTACCTTAAACCATGAGCTTTCCGCTTGATGTAACCAAAACAAGTCTGGTTTGCCCAATATTCGTGCTGAGCTCATTAATACGGAATTTTTTTTCTCATGTCATGACTCTTGATCCCCTTTGTGCGTATAAACAATTCCAATACAGCCTTACTAACCAGTAATATTCCATTAAGCGTCGCTTAGGTGCTAAATATAATAGGAAACTTCTGGGTCATTGACTTATTCGCGTGTCACAAGCTGGGCGGGGACAAGAAGTTTATATGGTATGCAAATGAGCCTCTGGAGTACAAAACGCCAAACAAACGCTAACTCACTTGCAGTCGCGGAGAGCAAGACTAGTCAAGCGGTACCGTGGGAACCCTTGTTGAAAACATAGGACGGCTCAGACACCTTCACTTCAATTGAGGACGCTGCGACACTAAAGAAACTGTTGAATCTATTACAGGGCACTAGCTGCAGTCATGTCGGAGATG